TTCAAAAATCAATTATTTCCTCAAAAATCTCAAACAAACACCCCCCTATAGATAAATATATTTTTGAAAAATCTAAAAATATATCCCAACGATTCAGACGAGTTCGTCGCTAGTCCAAGTTCACAAAATTCACACAGTAATGGCGGCGAAGGCAGAGAACGAAGACTCCGACGAGTTCGTAACTCTCACCTGCACCAATTTTGATGCTTCGGAGCGGAACGAAAACTCGGACGCCGATCAGATCGTAATTTCAACGGCCGGTGTCGACAGTTGGGACTTGCAATTAATTTCCAGTCACAAAGTCCTCAAAATAAAAGCCAATCCAAAGAGGCAAATAACCTCCCTATTCTCAATCATAACCTAATTTAATGGAACTAAACTACATACGGTTTATTGTGTGTTTCTATCTGTCTTACCCTTATCTACAAAATTCACAGGCTGATTGAAAAATCTTCTTATTTTCGTGGACTCCTACGTGGAAACTTTTGGTAATTGAATTTACGACCACCTTTTTTCAGAAATAATTTTCCACGTGTCTTCGTAAATTTTTAATAAATTTTACTGTGTTTTGAACTAATTATATATTGTTTTCTGGTGTATTTTTTCAGTGAATCTAGGCTGAAATATATTTCGATACATTGGGATACAGAGTCGTTTTTGTGTGTTTTAAGGTTCATGTTTGGATCCAAGGTGGATATTACGACTGATAATTTTATTCCTATGTACGAGGTAACTTGCCTTTTAAAATTTTTTGAATTGTTGTTATTTTTTAACTTTTGATGTTAATTCATGTAAATTTTTCTACGCTTGAAGCGAAAATAGTATGATTTGTATGTTAGCTTGGACCAGAAAATGACAGTCTATTATTGGTATAGGGCGAAGGAAACATTTTTGTATTATTATTGACCTAAGCTATGTAAATAGACAAGCGAGATAGTTCAGGTAATTTACAGTTCATAGAGGAATTGCCAGTTTATTGGATTATGAATTTGAAGGCTAGAATATATTGATTGATTTAGTTTCATAATTAGTCAGTGCAAAGTGCATGGACACTACTTAATAGGGCATTTGATTAATGAATTTTTGGTGCACACTTTGGCTCCGTTACTTTTGGGAAAATATTCTCCTCTTTCCTCTATCATTCTGTCATTTTTTGAATTTCGCATGGCTTTGTTATCTTTGTATGAAATTGTTCTTTGACGTCCTCTGCAGTGCAGTTGATACTGCACTTCTCTTAACTGATTGATTGATTGATTAAAAGTTATTAAAAAGTGTGATATATCCCATCTCAATAGCTGAAAACTGCTTTCGCATGTACTCAGGCTGCTTTATTTTTCGGAGTGGAGTCTCTTCTCTTGAAATGTCATGTTTGGTTAAATAAAGTAACATCGCTCGAAGGAGTTCAATCACCAGAATTTTGTCTGTATGATTTGGTTCACATCTGGAATTATGGTTTTGAGCACTGTAAGTATTTTCACTTGTTCATACTAATGCTAGGACTTGTCGCAAGCAAATTCGAAGCGAGACTTTTAAGATTTTTAGTAAGTAGAATAATTATTTGATTTCCTTATATTCTCGACATAATTATTATCGCTGCATCTTATTGATGGAAGTGGAATATTTTGCAGCCAATGATTTTATCCTACAAAAATCTACAAGCTATCTAGCAAGGAACTTTGTAAGTGCTTGGCTTTGCCACAATTATTCTCACTGAGTTTTACTGAATAAATTATTCTAGATTGAAGGATGGCATCTTTGTTTTAGCAAGATAAATAAGAATTTCTTATAGTGCTATAAATGAGCTTAATGTTGGGTTTATTTGTCCTTTGTGGAAGTTAAAATAGTACTGCATAGAACATGGACGACTGTTAGATGGTTATTGTTTTTACCACCGGTAACTATCACTCCCATTGACAGCTGGATCTCTAGGAAACTTTTGTATTTGCTAGATCCTCGACGTGAAGGCTTAATTCTCATAGTTGTGTTTCTTAAGAATATTGACATGGATAAAAGCATAAGAGAAATGTAGAACTGTTTGATCCATGTAGGTTTATTGGAGATAAAATGAAAGAAAACACAAGGAAAGAAATTTCGTAGTATGAAAATCAATAACAAACATAACTGAATAATGACTTGTATTCACAATTTAAACCCTATTTGCAGACACTACTAGCCCCTACCATGGAGTATAATAAAGTGATGTATTTATCAACATTCTAGTTCAATTTTTCGCTCAAAATGTATGGTAATGATACTATAAAAAGGAGTATCAATAATGAACCTAAGAATTATAATTCAATTTGTATAATTTTACAATGGAAAAGATATGATAATGATGCTGTTTCTGAATAGAACGTCCAGCATCTGGATTTTGTTGATTAAGAAAATGAAACAGTCACAATATTTTACAGCAACCGATACGAGTAATTCTAATTGCTAAAACTATCAGATATTCAATTTGAAAGAATGTAGAAGTAACTTCTTTATGATTTTTCTGAGTAGCTGTTACAACATATATGCCATTTCCTTTCACCATTCTGATCATATATACATGTCTTTCTCTGCAGATGTGGGCATCATCCTGTAACTCTTTCAACAATATTCCTCTTGAGTTACTATGTTCGGTTATAAAGGATCCCGAATTGACTGTAGACAGGTTATAAGTTAGTTATTATAATCCCAGTGCATTTTACATAGCGTCCACTTCCACACTAATTCCAGATTTCTTTAATCAGTGAGAAGCATCTCTGTGAAGCCATTTTAGTTTGGCTTGATGTGAATATAGCTCAATCAGAGGGCTGGAGTGGTGAAGAAGCAAGTCACGCTGATTTATTAAAGCAGGTATGACCTTATGAGTGAGAGGTTCTAATACCTGAAGTCACACATAAGGTTTGTGTTTGCGAGTGATGGAGAGGCTGGGGGGTAGTGTGCAGTTGGGAAGGGAAAAGAGAAGATATATCTAGGTGTCATCAACACATAAAAGTCAGAAGCAAGGATGAATATTTCTAAGATGAGTAAATTCCGATGAATGGGTATGACAGCCTTCATGAATCAACTGTATTCTTCTGTACCAAGCCATTCTGTCTGAGATCCTGAAGATTTGCTGCTAGTTGGTCAACTGTTATTCATAAAAGACTCAAATGGGGATAAGATGACTGCTCTTATAGTTTGTGAATGACATTGCCGTGATAGGGAATGATATAGAAGAAATTGAAAGAGAGGTTGGCGAAAGAATATGAGATAAAAGACTCGGGAAAACATAAAATATTTCTAGAAATTGAAGTTGCTCAATCAAGAGAAGAATTGTGATTTTGCAAAAAAAGCATATTGGATCTCCTTAAAGAAACTGGTATGTTGGAATGCAGACCTGTCAACACTCCAGTCTAAGTTGGACACAAACTTGATGAATGAACCAATAGTGTCCCATTAGAGAGAGGGAGGTATCAACATATAGTAGGAAAATTAATCTATTTATCACACACTAGACTTGACATAGTCTGGTGTTATGAGTTAGTTTATGCATAATTCGAAGGATATACAGATATAAGCATCGATGAGCGTGCTTAGATATTTGAAGCTAACTCCAGGTAAAGGTATTTTTTATAATAAAAAAGCAAGAGTTCAAACTGGAAGTATATACAGATGCAGATTGGGGAGGTTCAATTACAGATAGAAGATTGACCTCAGGTTATTGTACCTTTTTGAGGAAAAATTGCTGACCTGGAAGAGTAAAAATTAACTGTTTCTAGGTCTAACACAAAGGGTGAATTCCAGTCTATGGCAAAGGAGTATATGAACTCCTATGGATAATAATACTTGAGGATCTCAAAGTAGGTTGGGAAGGTCCAATAAGACTGTACTGTGATAACAAGTTCGCTATTAGCATCACTCACAACCCTGTTCAGCACGATCGATCTGAACACGTTGAAATCGGTCGCCACGTCATCAAAGAAAAGTTAGACGATGGTCTGGTTTGTACTCCGTACACATCTACTGAAAGACAATTGGTCGACCTTCTAACAAAAGGACTTGCAACTCCACCTTTTCAGTCAATTACTGCCAATCTAGGAATGAAGAACATATCAGCTTGAGGAGGGGTGTAGGGAAATCTAGAAAATATCATGCATTGTTTGCTGCCCTGATATTTTTATATTCCTTTTTTGATTTACAGCCTGTAATCTTGGTAGATTATGATTTATTCATAGCTGTAGATCCCCTAAAATATCTCTAGGAAGGAATTGAGCTAGAATTGTAGATAGTAGATTCTTCAGAAATTCATGTTTATAAATAATGAATAAGTTAGATCTTGAACTCTATCTCGCATTAGATTTTCAAGGAAGGTTTGAGAGCTTTGTCATTGTATTCCCTATTTTAAGGCAGGGGATCAACTTTGAGGTGCACTGGGAAGTTACACAAGTCCTTATTCTTTTGAACCTTCTAATGCTAGGGCGAACATTACAAGAGCTCATCAATGATTTGTTCTTCAACGGTTTACAGAAGATTAGCATATATTTTCATATAGTTTGAAACCAAATCTTATTGACAAAGTCCAGGAGCTGGTGGTGCAAGCTAATTTTTTTTTTTTTATTAGAACTTTATATCGTTCTGGAAATTCTTAAGATTTTTAAAGATATTACTTGCTACCTAAATATGTTACATTTTAAATCAGTGATGTAAAGATATTTATAAGTTTGTCATTCTTGTACGGTTGGCTGTGTCTTAGCTTGATGGCGTCATACTTTGAAAGCTGAAGCTTTGTACTATTCCTGGCCATGAGAAGGAAATTTTGTTATGCCTCCTATTAGAACAGTACATCAGAATTATGTGCTTTTCACTTTCCTGAATTTTGAATCTTTGTGGTGGCTATTGGAGCACGTTGATTTCTGTCCATAAACCACCTATATAGTATGAAAAGCAATCAACTAGATAATTGATGAGTATCACTGGAAATGGATATTATACCTATGACAACATAATGACACTGGTGTGAAGGGTGAGGGCAGAATTGTGTCTGTTGACATTTGATAGTCATTGCTTGGTTAGACAACACCTCACAAAGGTAGATACAGCAGGCTAAAAATTCACAAGAGCAGCATTAAATTATTTGTGTTAGGTTGAAAACCTTCCATATTTCTTTCTTTCTAACATTTTCATGGTTTCTTGAACAGATACGAACATCACTTTTGCCCTTGAGGTTTGTTGCTGGTGTGCTCTCTTCCAATATTTACTTAAAGCCCTTCTATAATAATTTATTGATGTGAACCTGTCTATAACTTTCCATAGAAACATTTCTATGCTGTAGGTAAACGAAAATCCTGTTTCTTTTCAAAGTTTGCTGATAAAGGCCTTCGTTCCATCCTAAGTTTGACGAGACCTCTTTCAATGATATCAACGAACGTATTCAAAGATGCTGACTTGAGTCATCTTAGAATCCGGCTTACAAAATATACTAAGGTTTTCCTTTCCCATTACTTTATCCTTGTTTTCTGTAAGCATCCTGATTAGAATCTTGTGTCGTTATCCTATTCAACCTTTTGATCTTATACTAGGGCAAAAAGGCAGCATCTTTGGCATTCTTTTCCGTGGTTCATTTTATTCAGATTATAAATATATATGTTAATTGATGTATAGTTAGTGGTCTATCTTATTTGTGTTTACCAGGGGCCCCTCTGATGGACACTCCTCATGTATAACAGATCTAAATAAAGATAGCTATTTAAGTGTCTTTCTTTGCTATAAGCATTTATGTGACAGTGAGATGGCTGTCAAATAAACACAACTTTTGTTGTTTTATGCAACGGTTATTAGACCAGTTGTACTTCATGGAACTGACTGTTGGGCAACTAAAAGATACATGTGCATGGGATGACTGAAATACAAACGATGATGTTGAGATGGATGTGAGGCTATACTAGAATGAAAAAAATAATAATAATAATAATAATGGTATGGTCCAAGAAAGGAGGTAGCACTAATTGAAAACGAAGTAAATAAGTAATGGAATGACGACTTAGATGGCTGGGGCATGTTAACTAAGTCTTCATTTACAATTGTTACTCAATTTGTGTAGAACATGCTAGAAGAGGGAGCCGTAGACCAAAATTAACTCGGACTAATATGAAAGATTTGACAGCATTGAGCCTTAGACCAAAATTAACTCAGACTAATATGAAAGATTTGATTTTATTAGACCTCTTAGAAGATGTATTGCTGGATCAGATAGTGACAAAATAGTTCAGGTATGGACTCAAGGTAGTTGGAAATAAGATCTCTTCTAGCTGCCCGACATCCTTTTACTATACAATTATAGGGATCTCGATGTTGAGCTCTTCTCGTGTGTGTCTTGGAGATACTACGGAGTAAGCTTATCAAGGCCCAGTGGGCAACCGGCTTTAGGAATATGGTCGTGCAAGATTCTTACCCCACCTCAGTGGCATGTGTAAGCCAAAGATAAAGGCTTGATAGATTCTGGTGGAGTTTTAGCTCGTGTTCATGTCATTTATTTCTTGGAGAGGCTTTTTGCAGGAGGGGGTGATTGATTTTGAACCTTTTCTAAATTAGAACAGTTTCCTGAATGGTTTGCTCTAACATGATCTCTTTGTGATATGGTTGGGTTAGTGGACTTGATCTTACTAGTCCATTGTTGTCGATTGTGAGGAACTTATGTAACATGGGACGGGACATTCATGAACCCGTTAATCCCTGGTGATGGTGTTTAATGGCTTATTCCAAAGGCATCCAATGAAGTTAGGCTAGTATTTCAGTTTATCGCGAATTTCCTCAAGGTCTATTGTGGACTTCGTAAGACACATGCTTTATGTTTTACAGGTCACTTTAGTCCATGAAGCAAAATTCTTTATAGATTAGGTAGTATGGTCTACTTAAAACTGGATTTTAGCCCTGGGAGATCTATTGAACATGAATGCTACCTACTTCCAGTCATTTTTGTAACACCCCAAATTTTTATAACGCTTGAGAGTGTTACCAAAAACTTACTTCTCTTTACATTAAATGTAGAACGATAAATAAAATAACCGGAATATCCATAAATTTAAACTAAACGTGAAAATTGTATATTTAAGAAAATAACATAATCACTTATTTAATTAAATAATATGTCTTTGAGTGAATTAAACTAACTAATAAATTGAAGACATAAAAAAGCTTAATGTTTATTTTTCCTTCAATTCCCCTGGCGTGCAGCACGCATCACCATCCTGTCACAAATCCAATCGACCTGAATTAACCTGTAAAATTTTTGTAAGAGTGAGTATTTAAAAATACCCAGTAAAAGACGTGCAGTTTCATACACAATTATATAATAATAAAATGAACACTTCATACCACTTTTCTCTTATGGAGTATATCAGTGACCAAGCAACACACCCATCTTAGATCATCTTAAATTCCCAAATGATTTCGTATTTCTTAATAAAAAACTCGAATGTCCACTGACAATTCATGCATAAATTACTGAATATAAAAGTATAAGGAAATGAACCACTTGTACAAAAGTATTGTACAAAAGTATCTTACCTTGATAGATTTGAAAAATAAATAAATTTCTTGCTTGTGAAAACTCATTTTTCTTCCCTGTACGCCTCCTATCCCCGCCTCTCTGTCGTGTGTATAATTTTTCTATGGTAATTAATCTGACATTCTTGCAGTATTTATAGCCACAAATTAGGTATTCACAATTTGAGTTTTGGTGCAATTAGAATTGAGGCTCACAAGGAGAATCGGGTAGGGAATAGGTTTCACTTTTTAGGTTATGCTAGTATCATGATTGTGCTTACTAACCAATCCTACTATGACGTGGAAGCATGGAATTTGGTTTCGCATTAATAGAATTTGCCTTGTACTAAATAAAGGGTTTCCTAGTCAATTTGTAAGGCAATCATGTGTAACTAGATAAGAATGATGCACATATCAATCCTACTCTAATAGTAAATAATTCCATAGTCCTTGACAATGTTGAGCTTTATCTATTTACCAATTAAATAAAAAGAAAAAAAAATTGATTTTATCTATCAAAGAATACACGTGGCCGTCTCTCATCCAAAATCCAATTTAAACAAAATACTAATAAATGACAATTTCTTTAAACGTCAATATCTTAGGCTTAACCTATCCGAATTACTTTTTTTCAAGTCCATGATGTGTTATTTAATACGAACTACCCAACGAGCCTAATATCGATATACTAAAACTTGTTCTATTAAAATCCAATTATTTGACCTAAATAAAATTGAAATTAATACTATTCCACTTTAGTCTCTCAACTTTCCAAAATAATAAATATGCATGTAGATCAAAATTGTTATCACCAAAATAATTCCATTCCATAAAATTTCAGGGCGTGACATGCTTGGAGTTTTAATGTACTAAAGAAGGAAAGGTGAAACTTGCATTATCTAAGCAATGAATGCCCCTGAATGAAGTTTTGGATTAAGGCATTGAGTTTCTTTCACTTTAAGACAGCAATTATTTGACTCTAATTAAATTTCCTAAATCACGAGAATAGTACAATAACATGTGCATATTTTCATTTCTTGCTAGAAGTTTATGGACAGAACGGTGTCAGCTTAATCATATTTTGGGCGTTTGCTATTGATTTCAATGGAATTTTGTTAAAGACGTTTAAGTAAGTACGTCTTTGTTGTACTGCTCTTGTTTGGTGTGTTATCTATGGAGAGACAGTTCAATTCACAAATTAGCCTGGAACTTTGGCATTCATAAGTTACACTAATAATTAAAAGAAGGAAATAGTCGGCGATGCATTTGATCTGTGCAATTTTTCATGTAATTCACATATTAATCACGTGTTCAGAATTTAATGTAAATGCATAGAGCCATTCAAGAAGTAGTCTTGCAATGCTGAAATAGATAAAAAATATCTGTATTGATTTTCTTAAATTGCACTTTTTGAAGCACGTGCTTCTTAACTATTCTTCCACATTAAATTGTGCAGAGAGTGGATCTCTCCAGTTGCCCACAGTTCACGCCATCACTTCTCCTGCTGTCGATGCTTCCTTTTTCATGCTATGCAGATCATATGTTAGAAAAGAGCATTAAGGAATCTTTAATTAACCGTGTGAGTCTAAAAGAGGATGTCTCTCTCGTATCCCAAGTATTGGGGCAGATGTTGACTTTTATTGAAGTAGAAGAGGTGGATATTTCAAATTGTCCAATGCTAAATCTTGAGGCTGCCATTGAGTGTTTCTGCAAGTCGCCATCATTAAGAAAATTAAGAGCGGCTTACTCTTTAGACTTCAAAACAAAGAGATTGTGTCAATTGGTACAAAAGTGCCCACTACTCTCTGACATTGACCTAACTGTAGATGTTACTACTCTCATACCTGGACATGTGTCAATTGTATCTTCCTGGACAGCCTTGCCACAAAGATCTACAACATACTTCAACCTTGATAATTGTTATTCTGCTGCCTCTTTTTCATATACGTCCAGGAAATTCCTCTCAAATATCACGAAACTGACTTTGGAGGGCCGAACCGACATCAGAGGTAAGACTCTCTCTCTCTCTCTCTCTTTTTAGGGAGTGTGTGTGTGTTTCTCTTTCCTCTACACTGCAGTCCCATCCTCTAAAGAACAACGAACCATGGTTCATGTTTGTATGTGTAAATATAGGTGTGTACTAGTCTCCTTTGCGTCCGCTGTCATTGTTTTCAGCTTTTTGGAAATACTTTTGGTTGCTTGAAAAAAATTAAGACGTTCAATTTCTATACATAAAAGAATCGGATCTTCAGCTAGGATTATTTTGCCTTGGTCAAGAGAGTTACCCACCATTTAATGAACTTTAACTAGGTAGATGGTCGTAGTTGTGGCTTGCTGCATATTTCTAGGTTGTACGTCATCTGTCACAGAACTGTTGATGTATAAGGGAAGAAGTTTCTTTGCTGTTTTCTTTCATCTATGCACTTCAATGTGTAGCATGTGCTGATGTGCACAAGTGATAAATCAACAAAATGGAAAGCAAAATGCATAGACAATAGAACAAGAATGCATCTTGTAAGTTCTTTAAGAAAATCAAACCATAGGAGATCGCCTTGCTAAAAAGCTTGTTTTCAAATAACAAAGATAACTAACTCTACTATGGCTATTATAGTTGTCGAAAAAGGATGCAAGTGGTGTAATGGAAATATGTTAATATACAAAAGGTCATACGGAATTTTTAACATGGTAAAGATTGGGCATCAAGTTTCTTTGATTATTTAAGCTGAAGCATTATTTACAAAATGTTTTGAGGCTACACCTGGAGTCCTGCCTAACATGAGGCTTTCATTAAAAGCCTCAAAGCTCACACCTTGACTTAGTGAGGGTCATGCCTTAAGCCTCATGGCAACTTCATAGCTGAAAGCCTTTCAGATGGCAGAATCAAAGCCAATCGTACAAGCATATCAATGGATATATGATGTTCCCTTTGTCTGCTAACTTCCAAGCTAGTTTCACTAATTCCTTTTGTTCCGAAAAACTCCTCATCCAACAAAAACAAATAAGTTCTCAAATTGATTTTCAAGTGCTAAGAGATCCGCTATTGAACAGGCTGATGGATAAAACTGAACCAACTAAAACTGTTCCTTGTCGAAAGAAGAAAATCAATTATGTGGATTTAAGTTAGCTACAAAAATAAGTAACTCCATATTCACCGTTGTAAAATGATTATCAAGTTCTTGAAGTTGCATATCCACAATCTGTTGAATGTTTCTACAGGACAACGATTTTAATCTTTGGTTTTGTGCTTTACATTGTGCCTTCGGCTTTAAAGATATGATCCATGTGGGGAATAGATGCTCTATTTCTCATGCTCTGCAATCTCTATTAGCACATGTTAAGTAATAGCATTTATATATCTTTGATCTTTTGTTAGCAAGAGCTATTACAACTCATTTGTTTTGAATTCCCAACGCAAGTTTAGTCAAGTATAGATTAAGACCTTGTTTGAGCCCAATTATCAAAAATTCATTTTTTCAACCACACATTCTCCAACAAAATAATTTTACACGTAAATCGAAAATTTTTCCTTATTTTTTAACTAGACATTCAATCACTATTCAAGAATACATTTTCCCCCCAAAATGGGGCTCAAACAATGGCTAAATACTAAAAGAAATCTGAGAAACTGAATTTTATATTATAATTCGACAGGGTTACTTGCTATTTATACAGAAAACCCATGTTGACTTTATGGTTCTTGAAAAGGAACAAGTCTTTACACAATAAGTATATAGCTGTACCAAAGAAGAAGTCCTTGTTGGACTCTCATGTTCTTGTCATTAATATATGCCTTGTTTTTATCAGTATATGGGGGCTTCTATGTGTTTCTTTTACTTGGCCAGCCTTGTAAAATTGAACTATTTTTTGTTGGTTCACCAGATTCTGATCTCCATGACATCTCAGAGTTCTGTGCTTCGTTGTGCTACCTTAACCTTAACGGGTGTACTTCATTGACGGACAATGGTATATCAGAAATAATTCTGAAATGTAAAAGACTACACTCAGTTTTGGTGTGTGATACTTCTTTCGGGAATAATTCAATTCTTGCACTTTGCTATGGGATTTCTGTTGCGGAATCCAAAAGAGGAAACTACTCTCACGCAATGGCTTCTAAGTGTCAAACCCTGCATGTTGGTGGCTGCAAAGGTGAGCGACATTTCCTTCATCCACTCTCACCCTCTTTCATTTTCATTATTCCAGGAAAGCAAAGAGAAATTCAATTTTCTGAACTTTTTTATGTCCGTGTCAGCAGATATTGAGTGAATATCGTTGATGCTTTCTGATGGGAATGTGTTCTAAATGTTGTGCATAAATTGACTTAAGATTCCTTTTTTTTTTTTTTTTGTACAATTTTTTTTT